CTGGACTTCGCGCACCATTTTAGTGCTTCCATCTTAGTTGAAGACGCCTTCAAACATATCTGCAAAAACTCGAATGTTCAGCTCAAAACAGACCGCAGGAGGCATCACTAAATAGTAGAGAATTTGATGAGCGCTGGCTGTGCGTCTGTGTTCCATAGTCGCTTTTTCAAAGCAAACAACAAAAAACACCCTAACTTCAACCCAGATCACATTGGTACCCACGGGTTTTTGATCGACCCAATTAACCTCTATGGCGGCGTCATGCAAACGGAAAAATTACCGGTGCGTAACTTTGAGTTAGTAGAGTATTTTGAAGAGGAGGTAACATTGAATCCAATCCTTAGAACGTCTGAAGACTCTTGATTGAACTTTTTTAAAAGTTAATCTCGAGTACTCAGAAGAACTACATGACAGTCATCAAGATTGCCCTTTAGCTCCCACCAAAAAAAACACTACCACAGGCAAAAAAAAAACAGTACCCAAACAACGTTACTCGGGCAGATGAGAAATAAAGAAACTGCAAGACGGTCAACTGCAACGGACAAGTCAAATTATACAATTCATTAAAAACTTTTGCAATTGTTTGGTAGGTTGCGAGTAAAAAAGAAAAGGTGCACCATGTGTTGATGTTTGAACAAGAAGCATGATTAGAACCATATATCACTCTGAACTCGACTGAACGCCAACAAGCTAGAAACAAGTTTGAAGAGGGTTTTTACAAACTTTTACAAACTTTTGTCGACCAGCAGAATCTCGTTCGCATAGTTAGAGATTATCAGGCCGCCTTGCTAAAAGTTAGTGCATTCAAACTTCGGTATCAAATCCGTCAAAATTTTTTCGAAAAACTTGGCAGCGTTCACTTTGAATTCATCAAAAAGTTACTATTTTTGAAATATCAAAGTTTTGCATGTATAAATTTCATTATTAAATCATGAAAACAAAATTTGAATGTCAACTTCTCTGTTTTGATTCGGACAGTCTTCTGTACGAAATCAAAAGTGATGGTTTATACCGGGAAGTTTCCGGAAGAAGAACTTGACCTGTTTATTTACCCGAGGAACCAACCCTTTCTGCGATTCAAAATTTAAAAAAAAAAGGTTGTTTTAAAGGTCAAGGACGAGTCTTCAGGGGACATAATAAACAAGTTTATATCCCTCAAATCAAAGCTTTATTCCGTTTTGTCCAAAGGTAATCAATTTTATCTGCCTTGGTTTTTTCGATTTTGATTTTTGTAGAAAATTGTTTTCTTTAAACAGATTTTTTTTAGTCAGCGAAAATTTATTTTGTTTTAATTTTTTTTGGAGGCTGAGAGTTTTTTTTTTTTAAATTTTGTTGACAATTTTTTTTTCTTGTGACCGAATTTTGAATTTTTGGAAATTTTTTGAGGATGACTGATTGTTGAGGTCACACCTTCCGTTGCACCTGGACTTCATGCCGATGTAGCAGCCACAAAAAAAATCCATTTTTTTGATCACAGATTAGTGATCATCGTTAATAAGGTTAGTAGTCATTTAAAAATTAGATTTAGATATTTAGATTGCAGAAAACTATCGGTGAAAGGTGTATCAAAAGCTGCTCAGAAGATGTTGACTCATCAGAGATATCGAGACACTTTGACCTCTGGCTCGTTATTCAAACCTGAAAACAGGCGAATCGCACCCGAGTCACACATTTTGCAAACTGTTACTTCGACGAAAACATCGTTATCGTTTTTGATGACAAACGCTACATCCTGGATGATGACCAGCAGAATCTTTCCTGCGGTCACAAAAATATTGTGGGTCAAACTGCGGTCTGCATTGATAATGGCGGTGACAATGCCGCCGCTGCAAATTCATACCCAATTGATGATGACAATTTGGAAAAATGGATGCCATTTTTTGAAGATGGTCAACAGCCAGCGTGGTAATATTGCAAAGATTTCCTAGATGGGGCATCTGAGCAATTATTTTACAATGAAAAAGTTGATTGAGACCATCCGGAAGTTCACAATGACTATTCTGCGGATAGCTTTGCTGTTGAAAATACACCACAAAAAAACTGTTCGCTTCGACAACAGAAAGACCAGGCGGACATCAATTGGCAAAAATTAGATCCCGGTCTGACTCAGGCAGCAGAAACTAACGACAGTGATATCGACGAATAGAATAAACTACAAAAAAAAACATTAAGTTTTGTATAGTAAAAAAAACTTCAGTGATTTAATAGGAGAATTGTGTGTACACAAAAACTTGACCTACCGCTATTCCGGGTTTAGTGCGTAATCAAGTGCGAGACTTTGTTCCATTTTTGGGACCCAGTTAATCGGGGATAAACTTTTTCACAATTAAACCAGTTTGTTTCTGGAACACATTTTTTATATCTTTTTGTACGTAAACTGAAATTAAATCAAAATTTTAAGAAGAAATGAGCAAAAGGGAAATAGCGCGGTGAAACATGTCAGCCCTTATTAGAACGAAGGTTTAGCAAATCGTTTCCAACACCAAACATGTAAGCACAAGGTTCAGTGGAAAACTCAATCATATATCGAAATTTTAAATGAGGACTGTAAGTTATAAAATAATATACAGGATGACAAATAGAACTTTTACATGGTGACCAATGGTTGTCAGATAAAACATGGTGACAAATACGATCTACACCTAATAGTCATCTATAATGGTCATCCATACAACCCTTCCACCCTTAATAGTGTACTATATGCAAACTAGTATTGTATCGAAAAAATGCGGCGTCAAAAAACGCACTATTTGTATCTCTAAAACCCATAACATATCTTAACTCTACGAAGTCTGTACCCTATCTAAATACATAGGCGGACAACCGGATAGTCTTTATATTCTGTTGATACTTTGGGGTCATCCGTCCCCTGTATGATTTGATACAACATATTACTGCAAGCATTACGAGCCCAAACTGTGTCTTTTGTGTGGGTTCTTTAGCAAAATTGACAAAAAGGTCAGTTTTTGAACTTTTTTCTTCGGTTTCCTTTGATCGAGTTGACAAAGTCTTAAACAACACTTAACTCTTGTTTCTGTGTTCCAGTGACCTACGCACACCAAAAAATGCGCCTATCCTTTCAGAATTTGGCTTTGTGATTTGATTTGGTTGGTTTATCATGCATAGTGGTTTGAAGGTGTTGTCTTGCAAGTCTGTTACCTGCGGATCTCTTGAGTGAGTGAGTTCATCCTCTCGAACTCCTGCATACATACAACTGTGCATGCTGTCTTGATTTCCTCCTTTTGCTTCAACTCGGCCATGTTGAACGGGTCCGGTAGTTTCTCTGTCAGCTCTTCCACGGTCCCTTCCACCGCTTCCTCCCGAGTCGAACCACTCTGGCTCCTTCCGGCCGAGTTTCTCGGCTGCAGGTCATGCACTACTCGGAACAGACTGTCACTCAGTGTAGTGAGGAATCCGATCTCGGCGTTCAGGTGCAAACCGTACAGGGCCGGGCTCTCCTGTGGAAGTGTCTCGTCAATGTATGCGTGATATCCTTTGTAATCGATGTTGGCTGGGAGTTTTTTTTGAAAAAATTTTGTTGACAATTTTTTTTTCTGGTGACCGAATTTTGAATTTTTGGAAGTTTTTTGAGGATGAATGATTGTTGAGGTCACACCTTCCGTTGCAAACTGCTGTCTGCATTGATAATGGCGGTGACAATGCCGCCGCTGCAAATTCATACCCAATTGATGATGACAATTTGGAAAAATGGATGCCATTTTTTGAAGATGGTCAACAGCCAGCGAGGTAAGATTGTAAAGATTTCCTAGATGGGGCATCTGATCAATTATTATACACTCAAAAAGTTGATTGGGACCATCCGGAAGTTCACAATGACTATTCTGCGGATAGCTTTGCTGTTGAAAATACACCACAAAAAAACTGTTCGCTTCGACAACAGAAAGACCAGGTGGACATCAATTGGCAAAAATTAGATCCCGGTCTGACTCAGGCAGCAGAAACTAACGACAGTGATATCGACGAATAGAATAAACTACAAAAAAAACATTAAGTTTTGTATAGTAAAAAAAAGTTCAGTGATTTAATAGGAGAATTGTGTGTACACAAAAACTTGACCTACCGCTATTCCGGGTTTAGTGCGTATTCAAGTGCGAGACTTTGTTCCAGTTTTGGGACCCAGTTAATCGGGGATAAACTCTTTCACAATTAAACCAGTTTGTTTCTGGAACACATTTTTTATATCTTTTTGTACGTAAACTGAAATTAAATGAAAGTTTTAAGAAGAAATGAGCAAAAAGGAAATAGCGCGGTGAAACATGTCAGCCCTTATTAGAATGAAGATTTAGCAAATCGTTTCCAAAACCAAACATGTAACTACAAGGTTCAGTGGAAAACTCAATCATATATCGAAATTTTAAATGAGGACTGTAAGTTATAAAATAATATACAGGATGACAAATAGAACTTTTACATGGTGATCATTGGTTGTCAGATAAAACATGGTGACAAATACGATCTACACCTAATAGTCATCTATAATGGTCATCCATACAACCCTTCCCCCCTTAATAGTGTACTATATGCAAACTAGTATTGTATCGAAAAAATGCGGCGTCAAAAAACTCACTATTTGTATCTCTGAAACCCATAACATATCTTAACTCTACGAAGTCTGTACCCTATCTTAATACATAGGCGGATAACCGGATAGTCTTTATATTCTGTTGATACTTTGGGGTCATCCGTCCCCTGTATGAGTTGATACAACAGATTACTGCAAGCATTACGAGCCCAAACTGTGTCTTTTGTGTGGGTTCTTTAGCAAAATTGGCAAAAAGGTCAGTTTTTGAACTTTTTTCTTCGGTTTCCTTTGATCGAGTTGACAAAGTCTTAAAAAACACTTAACTCTTGTTTCTGTGTTCCAGTGACCTACGCACACCAAAAAATGCGCCTATCCTTTCAGAGTTTGGCCTTGTGATTTGATTTGGTTGGTTTATCATGCATAGTGGTTTGAAGGTGTTGTCTTGCGTGTCTGTTACCTGCGGATCTCTTGAGTGAGTGAGTTCATCCTCTCGCACTCCTGCAGACATACAACTGTGTATGGTGTCTTGATTTCCTCTTTTTGCTGCAACTCGGCCATGTTGAACGGGTCCGGCAGTTTCTCTGTCAGCTCTTCCACGGTCCCTTCCACCGCTTCCTCCCGAGTCGAACCACTCTGGCTCGTTCCGGCCGAGTCTCTCGGCTGCAAGTCATGCACTACTCGGAACAGACTGTCACTCAGTGTAGTGAGGAATCCGATCTCGGCGTTCAGGTGCAAACCGTATAGGGCCGGGCTCTCCTGTGGAAGTGTCTCGTCAATGTACGCGTGATATCCTTTGTAATCCGTGTTACCAGGTACAGGGAATTGGGGAGCCAGGTTCAGCTCACCGTCAAGCTGTAAACAAAATAAACTGAGCAGACAATTTTTAACATACTTTTCAACATACTTTTTTAGAATCCAACAAAATTTACTTCTAATTTTGGCTTCGTTGTAAGTGTGTTTCAGTTAGTTATCGTTAGTTTTTATTAATATTATTTTAATTTTTCTGATTAACGTTTGTTTAGCATGGTTTCTAGATTTCAGTTTTTCTGGCAACGAATTTGTAGTTGCCCTAAAAATTTGCTGACAATATAAACTGGGACCATGTGTAGGCCTTCTCGTGGCGGTGTCAATGTCATCAGCAAAATGTCGATCTAGCTAGCAACTCACTTAAAATGCATGTTTACTGGAATACTTTGGAGCCTGCGTCTGTGGTACGCTTATGCAAGCAAAAAAGAATCCGACAACAAGTAAGTAGGTCGAAACTTTTTAAAGCGCAACCCATATTCAAATTTGCTCGACCCATGTTGCGACTAATGTTTCGCTCGAATCATTTTGTTATTTTGCGTGACCCATGTTGCGACTTTGCTTGACCCATGTGGAGACTTTGCGCGACTCATGTTGTGACTTTGTTCCACTCTTGTTGCGACTATCCGCGACTCATGTTGCGAGTTTGCGCGATCCATATTGCGACTCTGCGCAATCCATGTTGCGACTTTGCGCGACTCAAGCCTCCTCGGTCGCAGAAAGTCCATTTCGGCTACGCATTTCAGTCGCAACATGAGTCGCAAACATCGGCCCCGGTAAAACACCGCGGGAGGAAATTTCCACTTTACGTTTCCGCCGAAATGTTCGAACAAGATTTCATTGAGCGATAAATAAACTCATAGTCGCGCAAGGCCTATGGTCTAAGAAGTCAAAACACAAGGTCGAAATGAACCGAAACAAAAAGTCAATCTGGGTCGATGCAACGGCGTCGAAATATAAAGTCGAACAAGGTCGAAACATATAGTCGAACTGGGTCATCCAGGTGTCAAAGCTCTAACAAAAATCCATAATCACGTGGAGCCAATAGTCGAACTGAAAGTCAAAACATGTAGTCAAATTGAAATTTTTTAAATGAGTTTTGGAAATATTTTTTGCTTGCAAACTCTAAACAGATGCACCTTGATAAAACAACAAATTTTGAGACAAAAAAGAATTTAAAAAAAATTTCGATAATTTACGCTTTACCACCAATCTTTTTAAGGTTTTTACCTTCATTTAACCTAACGGGCTATTAACAATTCATTTGCCTCGAAAAAACTAAAAGAAGAGCTGCTTCAAAAAATTACGCAATAAAAGGTATCAAAATTCAATATGACATGATTCGACTGTTTTAAATGTTTTATAACGATTTTGCTGAAGTATATCTACAATATCACGCTTTAAAGTTAACAAAGAAAAACGTTTTGCTGTGAATTTAGAAGAACAACTTTGGATGACGGATATCAGGTCGAGATGAATTCAGCGTGAGTCGTAAAGTCAAATATTTACGATCAAATATTTTCTCAAATAAAAAAATCGCAAGTTCAGTATCTTTTTGATTCCTCATTGGCTTTTTAATTTATATTGAGCAACACGGTTCTGTAAGAGAGATTGTGAAACTGGCTGCATAATTGTGTTTTATTCATTTTTAAGTGTGGTGTTTATGTAACCTGATCAAATCCAACGTCGTAGAGAATGTTGGTCTTGCGTATTGCCAGTGAGAATTCAAAACGTTATCTTCTCAATCGATTTGTTAAGCACAGCCTATTTCTATACGAAGATTAGAATTACTGTGACATGGCCCTTCTCGTGAACCGCCGGTCTCATGGGAAGATTGATCCGAAATTCGAGTGGTTGATCATTGCCAAACAGGAGATCCACATTAAGGATTTACTAGATGACACTACGGCAACGCAAAATGTGTATCCGACACTAAAAGAGCCAGCGGGTACCGAAAAAGCCCAGATGCGGGCGGACAGAGAAGCTCGCAATGCAGAAGCGATACGAGTCCGAAGAGTGGAATGAACTCGCCGATCGAATGAAGAGAAACGGTTGTTCCACGGAAGAACGAGAGGAGAGGCAGATAAACGAAGGTAGTCGAAAATTTTCTTATCGTTTGTGAAGCAGGGGCAACGTTGTTTTTTTTCAGAATTATCCGAGTAGTAAAAATGTGGAATTACCTTTGCGGAGTCATGGAAATGGACAACGGCTGCGTTCTATCGAGAACCGGATGTTACGAACCGTAGCGTCATCCTGTTTTTTCGTAAACAGCGAGATAACAAAGGAATGGTGCAGTTTTTGGAGCACTTATTGACTTAGCCAACAGCTGTAATTTTGGCCACAAGAAGGAGTTGACCGTGCGAGATGTTTTCATTTTTAAGATGAAGCTCGAGGGGGTAAGAAAACAGCTTTGTATGAAAACAATGAGTCGCAACGAAGCCCTTCAATTTGAGGTGGTTCTGGTTCTTAGGCAAGATGCAAGAAATCATCAGAAATGTTTTTTTTTCCAAAATGTTTGCAAAAATCACTAAATTTTTAATATGTTTGGAAACAACGTACCGCTAATTTAATTTTGTTTTTTCCATTAATTAGTATGTTTTACCTTGATTTTTCATCTACACTCATAGCTAAAAAGAGACTGAAAAACATAATTGTCTGCAAAGAACCGATTGATTATCAAACAACATGCACTTACAGAAAAAAAAATAATCAAAGAGCTGTCGAGCAGCAGACGAGTTCTGGAGGGTCTCTATAGAACTCAAAGCTGAACGAGGTTCCAACATTGGTAGTTTTTATGAGGCTGGAGGCGTCATTCTTGCAAAAAAAGCAAAACGTGTACCACACCATGTTACAAGAAAAGATGTGGTACACTTTTGCAAAAAACAAGTTTCCATTTTTTTGAGTCAGCTTTTTTCAGCTAACTTTTTTCCAAAAATTATTCTTTCATCGTAATAAATATTTCGTCAAACTCAATTTTTTTCCAGCCTAAGCATTTTCTTGCGAGTTTATGTAAATTTCGACACGTGTGCAAAATCACTCTCGAGAACTTTTGCAAGTTGAAGAGTTTGAGCTGATATCTTCGACAAGCATACCAAATTTTTTCGGCAAGTATGTCGAAACTTTTTACGAAATGTGAAAACTGTTTTGCTTTTTTTAAACAAAAATGCAAAATGATTTCAAAATTTCTTGCAAAACCAAAAACCGTTTCATATTTTTCACAAACTTGCAAAAAAAAAGTATGGTTTTTTCTTGTAAGACGCATGTTTTTCATGATTTTTCTCAAACTTAAGCTAAAATGTTGATTCTTTTTATAATAGAAATACAAAAAACGCAAAATTTTATTGCTAAAAACAAGTTGAATTATTGCTAAGAACACTTCTATTTTGATGACTTGGACCTATTTCCCTTGAATTAATACATTGCTAGTTTGCTGTTTTTGTTCAAGAGACATGCAAAAACTAGTTTTCTAAATAATTGAATTTTGAAAAAAAAATTCAAAAAGTTTGATTATTACAAAATGCGAAAAGAAGATCAGTTTTTTGGAAAAAATGCATAACTTTTTTCACTTTTTGCAATAAAATGCGAAAAGGTTTTGAATTTTTTCAACAACATGCTAAAATTTTAACAATTTTTTTTCTACATATTTGCAAAAATTGTTTCCATTTTTTTAAACAAAAAGCAAAAAATCTTTCATTATTTTCTACACATTTCGAAAAGTGTTTCTGGTTTTTAGGCAAGATGCAAGAAACCATCAGAAAAGTTTAGTTTCGTTTTCTCCAAAATGTTTGCAAAAATCACTAAATTTTTAATATGTTTGGAAACAATGTACCGCTAATTTAAATTTGTTTTTTCAATTAATTTGAACGTTTTGCCTTAAATTTTCATCTACGCTCATAGCTAAAAAGAGACTGAAGAAAATAATTATCTACAAAGAACGGATTGAATATCAAACAACATGCACTTACAGAAAAAAAAGTAATCAAAGAGCTGTCGAGCAGCAGAGGAGTTCTGAAGGGTCTCTATAGAACTCAGAGCTGAACGAGGTTCCATCGTTAGTGGTTTTTATGAGGCTGGAGGCGTCATTCTTGCAAAAACAAACAAAAGTTTTACCACACCATGTTACAAGAAATGACGTGGTACACTTTTGCAAAAAAAAGAGTTTCCAGTTTTTTGAGTCAATTTTTTTCAGCTAATTTTTTTCTAAAAATTATTCTTTATTCGTAATAAATATTTCGTCAAACTCAATTTTTTTCCAGCCTAAGCATTTTCATGTGTCAAAGGTGATATTTTATGTTGACTCTATAACCTCAGAGTTATATTTAGTTATGACCTTTTACCATGCTAATTTAAAAATGCCTGCCAAAAACGCAACGGCTTTTGGCAGACTTAGAGTTTGTTCATTGGCAATTTTTGATATGCAACTAATCCTGTGAAACTAATTTAACCTTTTTATCATCCCTTAACTTAGCTTAGATACCTTAGTCTTTTATTTAGTCTTAGATAAAAGCCTACAACTAAAATGTAGGAATCTTAACCAACCCCGTCTTAAACTAGTCTTAGTTTAAATTTAATCAATTCTAACCAACAGAGAGTTTTATCCTAATTTTTTAACATGGCGCAGTCAAACGAGTCGAACCTACGAGGACTAGTTTTTTTTGGAACAACACATCGAGTGAAAACCAACACGACTGGGAAAGGTGGTCGGAAAAGTTCCAACTAACAACCATCGCGAAAGATTCCGTGGACATCGAAGATGTAATCAACCCACCGGTAAGAGCTGAACTAGCAAAGCCCATGGCAGAACCAGGGGACCCATCCGATGATCAAGCCCGTCGGGCCAAAAAGAAGAACACCACCGAATAGCTATACTAAATTACAACGAAGAAATGAGAAGGAGAAAGGCAGAAGACAGCGCAAAATTCCACGGACTTCAGATCGGAGATATTGACAAGAAATTAAAATCACAATTTTACCTGGCACTCGGAAAATGCTTTTCACATAAAAATCCTGGGAAAAGAATATTGGACATTAAATTTGCCGAATTCTGG